CAAACTGGCCAGTTTGTCCGTGGGGTTGAGTTTCAGGGTGCTGATTTTTTCAATGAAATGTCCTGAGTCTCTAATGTGGGCTGGAGTCTGTCCAACATGGGTCTCTAGAAGGGTGGCCAGATGTTTGGATAATTCATATGTCGGGGAGCCAATGGCACTTACGATGGGTCTGAGTGGGATCGGGTTTTTGTGGATTTTGGGGAGTCCGTATAGTCTGGGTGTAAGGGCTTCTGTCTTGCATATGCGTTGAAGTATGTTGGGGTGAAGGGAGGAGCTCCTTGTCAGGATGTTGGTTTGTTTCATGATTTTGCAGTTGGTATTTCTACAATGGACAATGCTGAGGCCTTCACAGATGAACTTTGTTCCAGGGAGTTTGCCAAATCCAGGTTGCTCTCTATTTAAGCACAGTTGGCCCTCCTCAGATCTGGCTTTCTTCAATAAGTTATTCCTGTGGTGCCCTGCCAGGTCAGCTGCTTTTCAGGATAGCTGAGTACTCCTGTGCCCCTCTGCCTTTTGATGTTTTTATCTTTAAAAAACTAAAGTTCTTGAGGGCTGTGTGGAGGAAACTGCTGATCTGGGCCAGATTCTGCTGGGTCCAGGCAGGAATGGTGGCTTGCTTGGCATTATTGCTGGGGCCTGGCATCATATGTTCTGATACTTGGGATGCCTTCTCCTACCTTGTCTGTGGAGTATTCTTGATATCACAAGAATTAATTTCCATTCAACCTTCTTCTCTGCTTTAGAACGAACTTTTATTTGGATGCTATGGAATGTAGCTTAACTTCTGGAGATTGTATAGACAAATGCTTGCAACCTTTATTTGTCTTTAGTAATCAGTTTGATGAGGAAAATGCCACCATCAGCCTCAGGACTTCTACAATGGAAACTTGCTAGCTAGTTTTACTATATAAAACACTGAGCTGGGAGGAAGATTGTGATGTGGTTTTCAAATCATGAGCTCAGGAAGATGGAAACAGCAGACATTTGTTGTCTTTTGGTTTCTTTGTTACTTGCTGCTGTTGTAAAACACACAAAGTTCACATGAGGTAGGAAAAGAACCAAGTTGTTAGGCCAGAGCAAGGGCAATCAAGATCATTTAATGGGCAGTTCAGTCTCTCCACAAATTTTGTTGACAGTAAGAAAAGAAGGCAAATGCAAAGGCTAGCAGCAAAATGTATACCAAATTAGCAGATATGCCATACATCCAGCTGTACCCACCATTATATCCATAGTTGACAAAAACAAAGGAAGAATGCAAATAACAGGGTCAAAGGAAACCAGGACAGGCAGATGAGTTAGATTAAGTGCCAAACTTGCTTCTTTTATTGGAAATTTTAAGAATCTCTCTACCTTTCTGAAACAGGATGACTAGTCCCCATGATAGACGCCTTACTTGCCTGAAGAGTAGGAATTTATTGGGAAATCATAATTTCATTTTTGCTTCCATGCAGCAAAGCTAAAGATGCACTGCTAAAAATGCAGAGAGAGCGTGACTTCCATCGAATGCATCATAAAAGAGTAGTCCAGGAAAAGAACAGGCTCATTAATGACATTAAAAGGTAAGTGAATACAAAGAATTCACTGAATCTATTTGACATTTAGAAGAGCTACTGTTGTATTTTACTATTATCATATTAGTTGCAGCTGTTGCTTTTTGTATTTTTGTATTTATTTTTTTCCTTTATTTTATAATAATAACAAAAAGAGAGAAAAACAAAAAGGAACAAAACACAGATACGTACATTATAAAAAAATTACATAAATTGTAATACAACAGAAAAAATAAAAATATAAAATATAAAGTATAATATGTTGTCACAACAATAGTTACAATTCTCTATATATATCTAATGCAAATAGTATGCAAGTGTGTGTGTGTGTATTTCTAATACAGTTATATAACTATTGTGCTTTTTCCTAACCTACTGTATTTTGTATAAATGAGTTCCATATTTTTGTATAAATAAGTCCCATTTTTCATTATACTTGTCAATAGGAAATCTACGTCTATAGGCAATCTGCTCATAGGTGGCAAGCGTAATCAGGTCTTCAATCCATTGAGTGAATGGGGCCATACATTTATCTTTCCAGTGTTGCAATATCAGTCTTTTAGCTGTAGTAAGGACATGGAGAATCCATTTACATTGCCCAGTTGCCAAATTCCATGTACTAGGTATGTAATCCAAGAGAATATTATCTTCTGAAAATTTTACCTTTTGTCACATAGTCATGTTTATATGGTCCACTACTTTCGTCCAAAATTTAGTAAGTATAGGACATTGTAAAAACATATGTTTTAAAGAAGCATTATCCTTGTTACATC